AAATTACTTAGAAAGCTGGAAAAGCAGGAATATATTTGTGATAGTCTCCTGCATGCTACAAGGGTGATGTGGAAGGTCACATGACAACTGTACAAGCAGAAGCTTACATTTATTGGCTGGAGACCAAGAGGTCAGGAGCCCTTCCATTGTGGACTGAGCAAGAAACATTATAGAATGTTCCTCCAGAGAGCACGGGTTTACTGGATAGGTAGTCATGTGGTGACCTCCTTGACCTGCTGTCTTAATTACTGTTCTGTTGCTGTGATAAAACGCAATGATCGGAAGCAGCTATGGTAAAAAGAGTTTTTCTTGGTGTGGTGGTTTGAATATGTTTGGCCCAGTGAGTGATTGACACTATCAGGAGGTGTGATCTTATTGGAGGAAGTGTGTCACTGTGGGGGTGGGCTTTGAGAGACCCTCCTAGCTGCATGGAAATCAATCTTCCCCTATTTGCCTTCAGAACAAGATGTAGGAGCTCAGTTCCTCCAGCACCTTGTCAGCCTAGATGCTACCACGCTGATAACTGAACCTCTGACCTGTAAGTAAGTCCCAATTAAGATGATTAAGGTGATTAGAGAAACTGCATACATGTCTGATAAGCCTTGCTATCCAGCTCATTCTTCATGTATCTGAATGGACACGGGAGGATCATGTGTGATGCACATGAACATGGATAAAAATATGAAAGAAAATGTATAAAAAATTAAAAAGACTGCATCTGAGAAACACAAAGATTATCACATATAGGTGATATATATGTGTATCTGCATTTATTCATAGTGATATATGAGGTATATATGTACGTATCTGCATTTATTTACTGTGGTATCTTCAATAAAGGGTAAGTTACAAATCCTCCAACATTTCTATAGTGATTTCTGTAGGGCTTGCTATGTGTTTCCCATAATTAAAAATTGTACAGTCCCATCTGTATTCATGAAGCTGCCTGCAATTGACATTAGATTGCAAAGAAAACATTTGTTTTCACCAATGAAAGTCTGTGGGTGTATTACCGCCCTTAAGGGTAGATACCATGCTCAGCAGTAGATGACCAACACAGAACAAGCTCAGTGGTATTTCTGTAGACTTCCTCTCTCCTATTGCTTTGTTTGATTGTTGTTTTCATTCTCTTACTGACCTTTTACTTGTATTTATGTTTCTCAAATTTGTGTTTTTATGGATTTATTTATTTGTTTTTCTAATTGCTCTTCATAGATTTTTCCCACTTCTCTTGTTTGTTTATTTAAGCATTTGCTAATAACAGCATGCACTTTGATATTCATTTTTTTTTACTTCGCCTTATATTACAACACTGTTTTATGAACTTTAACAACTGGTCTAACTTTGCCCACTGCAATTCTTTCATGGATCTTTGTATCTGTTTGATGTGGCTCCATTATTGTGATTATTCTGTTATTTTTTTTTCTTTTTAGCAGGAGAGAGTATATTTTTTTTTCCTTTCTGGAATGATGAAATTCTTCAGAGTCCTTTTGTACATTCCTGGGCAAGGCCTAGAAAGATCTATTTTCCCCATGACGCCCTCATTTCTTTTAATTTGAAAGTACTAGAAACCAAAAATTATATTTGAAAGAGGAGGGTATTTTTTTTTCTGTAGCCAAAAAGAAATGAGATGTTCTTTTGGGTTAAGCTTGTGTCATGTGTTGCTCACCACAGAGAACAGGCTGACTCTGTTTGAATTGCATGGTGAAGGGATATGGAAGGAATGGATTTTCAAATGGATGGTAGTGCAAAAAGAAAAAAAACTGTGCTCTATGGCCAACAAAATGATAATTTTTCATCACAATTGCTGCTATTTCTATGAATTCAGAAATCCTAAAGCTGACTACGACTTACTGCAAAGTTTTCAAAGAAAAGAAAAAAAGCTACTTGTATAAATATATGTAACAATAAATGCTTGGTCTGTATTGGTAGCAAATGAATACTAGTATCTTTGAAAATTGAATTGTACTTTGCAACATATTTGCACGTGAGCGTTTTCTGCTTTGAAACTATACACGTGCAGCGTGTATTCATTGTCAGATTGCATTCTGGTTTTGCTTTTAAAATGATTTCACTTTTGCATAAATGGAACATTTATCCTGGGAGGAGATTACATTTGTTGTCCTTTGTAATTGTCGCTTCATTTTGACTGTCTTTGCTGTTTTCCTCTTTCAGGAGCACAGTCAAAGCAAAAAGCAGTTTCCTGCTTATTCATCAAAATGCTCAGACACTTGGCTTTTTCCCCCTACGTTAAGAAAGCATGTAAAAATATACCAAAAAAAAAGCCCAATAGGATAAAAATATACCTTAACTCAAACAGCCATTGTGATCTAAGGTGTGTATGTTCTCTCCCCCAACATTCCTCTCTCTGTCTCTGTCTCTGTCTCTGTCTCTCTCCTTTTCTAATTTTTTAAAAATGACATTTATTTGCCGTGTGTGTATGTTCCAGCTATTAGGTATATGTAGAGGTCAGAAGACAACTTGAAGGAATTGGTTCTCTCCTTCTGCTATGTGGGTATTCTGTTAGAAAGGTTTTCCCATCCCATGTAAATTAAAGCAGCCTCTACAAAGAGCAGTTCCAGAACATAACAAAGCAGCTTTCAAATGAAGTCTTTGCAAAGACATAGCGCTTCTAGGAGAGCAGCAGTCATCACAAACTTCCTTCTTCTACTAAAGTCTGTGAGCTTTACCTTTATCATGTTGATATTTTTAAATTAAGTTGTTCTTTAAAACATTCTTATCCACTGTAGGCATCAAATGGCTTACTCAGTTAATGCTTAATTTCTTTTCATTTGAATTTTCAAAACATTAAAGATCATGTCTATATAAAACATACTTAGGTAACGTATCATGGGTGAGTTTAAAATTTGAAATCTATTACATGGAAGTAAATGAATTAGCAACTGAGTTACTACTTTGGCCATTTTGAGGCTTGACATAATGGATGTGTGTGTGTGTGTGTGTGTGTGTGTGTGTGCACATGTGTAAAATACTTTTCCTTTTTCACACCTTTTGATGAGCATCTCTGACTTCTCTACCACACACAGTTAATACTGATTGAACTTTGTATATCAGGGCTCTGTTAAACCATTTCTTATGTTCAAGGCCAAGTCTAAAAGAATTTATGCCTTACCAAATAATAATTCCTATATATTAAGCTCTTTTAAAATATTAAATTTGGGCTCATCATAGTCAATATTTTAAGCAAATTTTATTTACATTACTTATTGGAAATATTTGGTATACTGGAAATGATGGTAAGAATCTTTACATATTTTACTTTTCATTTTTTCTGTTACTCTTTATATCAGGTTAAACAGATCTTAAAAGTTATTATAAGGGAACAGGAAGCAGTAGTTCAAGAAGTTTAACTTAACTAAGACAATGAGGAAGAACTTGAATACAAATCTGAAGCAGAGGAAACATAGCATTCAAAGACAACAGACTTCATAGCAGACAAAATAAAGCTCCAAGGGACCGTCTTCCATGGGTCTCATGTTTCTATTTATCCTTCTGGGCATCAGCAGTGCATGACTCTGCCACCCCTCACTCAGGACTCTTTTCAGGGTTCAGTTTACAGTTAGCCACCTTGATAGATGAGGTCAGATGTAAGTCAATGGATCCCCCATTTTCAGAATCCCTCTTCTGTATTTTTGCCTCTTTGCATCTAATGAGCACTCAAAAATGTTTGATGTGAGCACAGGACAGTGACTCTTGAACTGTTGAGATATCATTGTGATCTTTATCCAAGTTTAATAGAAACAGCTTTTATTTCTTATCGCTCTATGCTCTGAATAGGTCCCTCATGCTCCAGTGATTCATAGCTAATAACAACACTGTGAGGCAGGTTGACATTATCCTCAGTTTATAAATGTGGAGACAGGCCTAGAGACACTAGTGTCGCTGGCGATAGGAAGTGACGGAAATGAATTCCAACATTCAGGTTCTTAATCACTCCCCTAGCAAGTCACATTTAAAAAAAAAATTAAATAAATGGCAGCTTTAATATGTTTACCAACCAGAGTTCATCAAGGAATGTAAAACAAAAAAAGAATCTGAAAGATGGTCTTAATGATGCCTATATACATACACTATATAAACCAAAAGTTCCTATCACAGTAATAAGACACATGATTGGACAAATTAATCAATTCTCTCCTGCCCCCCTCCTTCCTGTCCTCTGTTTCTCTTTCCCTCTTTCATCTCCTCCCTGCCCTTCCTCCCTGCCCCCTTCCCTCAGAGGAAGCTCATTAGCTCTTAATTACATTCTCTAGCCCAAATATTACCTATTAAACTTTATGTTAGGGTCATAGGTAGCTCATAATATTTTATGGATGTGAGTTTACCTCAGTAAAAATCAATGGTATAATTTGATACGACTGAGACTATTCCAAGTCTATGTGTAGGAAGCCACTGTCAAAACAGATGTCCTCACAAACGAATTAAAAGATTGCTAGAAAGGGTGTAATAAGGGTGAGCACCCTCGTTGTTCATTCCTAAAGGTCTAGGGAGTATTTGGCAGCTCCTCAATAGTGGTTCCTAGAACTTTCCCCACTTCCTCTAGAAATAGGGACAAGTATCTCCCCTTTTCTTAAGTCTGCCCTGCTCTCAGAAACATTTGGGGTTCTCTACACATTGAGAACCGACATTTGGCATGTGATAAACAAGAGTAAAGGAAAGCAATGAAGAAAAACGAAGCCGTAAAGAATGGCGTTAAAGCACACAAGCAAGTAAACAAACAAACGAAGGAAAACAAAAACACCCAAACAAGTAGCTTGTGTAAATGTAATAAAAGTCCCTGGTTCCTGGCTTATAGCCTGCTCTCCAAGCTTCGTGGGGCGTCTGGGGTAGTTAGGCAACGCGTTGCCGTAGTAACTGCAGACGCGCAGAGGGCTTGACCCAGGCCTTCTGGGGCTGAGCTGGTCTGGGGTGAGGGGTCCCGGAATCTCGCGAGAGTCTCGACGCCAGTCCGAGGGGCACCGAGAGGCTCAGTTGCAAGCATGGCTATTCCACCTGGGGTCCCGCCGCTGCGGATGCTGGAGGCGCTGGGCATTGGCTTGTCACCTACTGGCGAAGTGACAGAGGCGGTGACCGCCGAGGGCGCCTACTACCTGGAGCGTATCCTTCTGGTGGCCCCCCGGGCGGGCCGGTGACTGACGAGGCCTGCGCAGGGGCTTCCTGTCGGGGCGCCTGTGGACCCCATCTGATGGGGTGTCCAGGTGGAGTCCTTGCCAGCCCAGCTCTGTCCCAGCAGTCCGCCAAAGCCATTTTAGGAACGTAGGCTCATCTGTGGTTAGTCATGAGCAGAGTAGCGAAGCCTTCCATGTAATTTACTCTCTGACCTGTAGGCTTGAGGCTGTTGACATGAAGTGGCTCAAGGAATTTTCCAACTCTCTAATGAATGGTACACACACACACACACACACACACACACACACACACACACAGATACACACACACAAATCCTCAGCATACTTTCATAATAACTTCCATCAGATGTTGACATATTAAGGGAGATATCTGTATGTATCTCTGGGCTTTAGACAATGGAAGCCCAGACTGCACCCTAATGGTCTTGTACCAGGTCCAATTATGTCCTAAATAATGGTAATTTCTCTCCACAGGGATGCCTACCTTTCTGTAGTTTCAGTTTTGGTTATTTAGTGGTAGCACTGATAATACCCCGTCGCCCCACCCCCCACATTGGACTAATAAATGTTTGTAGAATGAGCTGGCAAATGCTTGGAAAAAAGCAACAGATCATGATGAGCAACTATGAATGAGGTACCAGAAAAAATGAGTAATTATATATGTATAATTAGGTTCACTAATTTTTTTGTAAGGCCTTTCTTAGCCTTTCCTTCTCTAGGTCAGTAAATTAGTTCTTCTGAATTAATATTCAGTGTTTGTAAGTAAGAGCCACATAATAATTTTTTTCTTCCAGTAGATGAAAGAAAGAAGGCTATCTATAAAGATGTCAAAGACACTAAACATCTCCCATTATTATTACTATTACCATTATTATTATTATTAGTGGAATAGTTACAATCCCTTGTTTCTTAATTCAAGATCTCATGCATCCAGCAGTAATCCATTTTGGGAACTTTGGCAAGCTCAGTTAAGCAGAAAATATATTGTATTACATTGGATAAAAATGATTTTTTATAGGAGTTAAGACTTGAAATCAATTTGAAAACTAATGTGGGTTGCCTTAGTGTCATAATTGAGTCTTTATAATCTGTTTCAAAATGTTGGCTGTAAAGTTAAAAATATTCATGTTATTCTGTCTAATCACATGCACCAAATATAAGGATCTCCAGTGTCCTTTCTAGTGAATTCCAACAAAACATTTGTAAAGTTTTTTTCATGAAATTAATTTCTCTAGACATAGTTTAGTTATTAACATGAGACTAATTGATAACATTTTGAAGATGTTTCTTTAAAATAAACATAGGATTCTTACATAATGAAACTTGAAACAAGAAAATCAGATTTATGGAAATTTCCAGAAGAGCACTGAATTAAAAGTGCAGCATATTTCAGTATACACACCCATTTTTAAAAATTTAACATCTTTTCATGTAATATCTTTTGATCATGTTATTCCGTCCTTCCAACTTCTCCCTGATCCTGCCCTTCTGACTCCCCATCCAACTTTATGGTTCCCCAAAACAGAAACAAAAAGAAAAAAGATAACCGACTAAAAAGTAAAACACAGCACCCCCATAAAAAGAAAACTAAACAAAAGTGAAGTCAAAACTGAAGGGACTGGTATTGGCAAAGATACCCCAAGACCAGGTTCTCAGTGCAAAAGAGATTTATTTGCCCCAGTGGGACAAAGGGTAGAGAATAAGAGACAAAGACAGGAGACAGAGGACAAGGGAGAGGGAGAAAGGTATTCATCCCTGGGAGAGGAGGAGTACAAAGGACTGCCTCTGGATAGAGAGGAGACAAATTTGGCCCACAGGCAGTTTAGAAGGGTTTAAGGGGAAACCCTGTGTTAGGATGAGGTGTTTAATTTTGATTTGGCATGTTGACAGGTGAGCCAAAGAGGGTATTTGGTTGCTGGACTTCAAGTACTTTGATGGGCCTTGGTAGTCAGCCTCAGGAGGAGGAAGTGGCCAAATAAAGGATACACCTTGCTGGCCAGCTTCTGGAATGTAATCTAACAGTTTGTAGCAAGGGAATGGAGAAGGGTAAGACCTGCCAGAGCCTATTGGCCATGCTCCAGCTTGCTAGAGTCCTCAAAAACAGATTGGTAAAAGATCAGTAAGACAGAAATTCTAAATAACAATAAAAACACAATGAAACAAAATGTCCACAAAAATACCTTTGAGTTAATTTTGTGATTTACAACTACTCAGGGGCATTAGGCCTGATCTAGGATGTAGAATGTTGTGTCACCCAATGGCACAATTGGAGCAAACTGACTTTCTTTTTGCTAAGTGGTGTCAATGTAGGTATCTTCTTAGTTAGGGCTGGGACCCTCTGTCTACTGCCCCTTCCCATGCTGGGACCCTCGCCCCATCTGGCTTCAACCTGTGTAGGTCTTTGGCCCCAGTCTTTGTGAGTCCATATGTTACACACAGATCTTACCAAAATACTTTAAATCACAAATGTAATTTGCAAATGTAAGCAAATCTAAGTTTCAAGAATTTATTATCAAGTTCGTTAATTATCTGGTGTTTACGCTTTTCTTTCATCTCTTCATGGTTGACTGATTACTATTTCATGTTTCAACCAAAGGATAGCCAGGGGAGAGCAAAGTCAAACAATTAACCAGTGGATTTTGCTATATTCGGTGTTCAGGGAAGAGGTTTAGTCATGGGAGAGGCTTTAACTCTTAGTCAAAATGAAGTTTCAGGATTAATTGCGAATGCCAATTATCCTTGTATCCCTGGACTCTCTTCACGTGCATAATTAGGAACTGACAGTATGTTATTTGACATTGTTTTGTAAGGCAATTATGATAGTTGTCGAAGTGAGACTTTCTTGGGTTTAAAGTCTATAGTCCTAGGGCTATTTCAGTACCTAATAAAAATTATAGTATGCATAAGTGAATCAGAACTTTAGTGTCCTTTACCTAGCATATATACATGTAATCACTTCTAATTTAGTGCATTTTGCCCTAGATTTCCCTTAGAGATTATATCATACTCCTGGTACTAGATAATGACCTGCCAGTATTGGAAAAGGCCTCTGGAAGAGGTTCACTTGAGTTCTTTAGGAAACCATCTTCTACCCTTATACAGGTACACAACAGGGAACATGTATAGAGTAATGTGGCTCAAGCCAGACACAAAAGCAGGACTCACCATTAGTGTCAGGGTTTCAGTTGTTGTGCTGAGTAGTTTTATGTCAACTTGACAGGAGCTAAAGTCATCTGAGAGGAGGGAACCACAATTAAGAAAAAGCTTCCATAAGATTAAGTTGTAGTCGGGCTGGAGAGATGGCTCAGTGGTTAAGAGCACTGACTGCTCTTCCAGAGGTCCTGAGTTCAAATCCCAGCAACCACATGGTGGCTCACAACCATCCGTAATGAGATTGGATGCCCTCTTCTGGTGTGTCTGAAGACAGCTACAGTATACTCATCAATAAAATAAATAAATAAATATTAAAAAAAAAAAAAAGACCTGCTTTAAAAAAAAAAAAAAAAAAAAGATTAAGTTGTAGTCAAGCCTGTAGGGCAGTTTCTTGGCTGGTAGTTGATAGAAGACAGCCTACCCCATTGTGGGTGGGTCATCTCTGGGCTAGTGTTTTTGAGTTCTATTACAAAGCAGGCTGAGCAAGCAGGAGGGAGCAAGCCAGCAAGCAGCAATCCTCTGTGGCCTCTGTACCATCTCCTGCCTCCTGGTTCCTGCCCTGTTTGAGTCCCTATCCTGACTTCCTTTGATGCTGAACACTGTCGAAGTGTAAGGCAAATAAACCCTTTCTCCCTGAACTTGCTTTTGATCATGGTGTTTCATCATGGCGATAGAAACCCTAAGACAGTTGTTAACTTGGTATACATGGAAAAAGGAACCTCAGCTGCAGATTGTCTAGATCAGTTGACCTGTGGCCTTGTCTAAAGAACACTTTCTTTCTCTCCCTCTCTTTCCTTCTCTCTCTCTCTCTTTCTCTCTCTCTCTTTCTTTCTCCCTCTCTTTTCTTCCTTTCTTTTCCTTCCTTCCTTTCTCTTACTCCACCATGCTCCTTCCCCCTCCCTTCCTCCTTCTCTCTCTTTTCCTTCCTTCCTTCCTTCCTTCCTTCCTTCCTTCCTTCCTTCCTTCCTTCCTTCCTTCCTTCCTTTGTTTCTTTCTTCTCCCTTTGTTTTCTTTTGAGACAGTTTTGAGACAGGGTTTCCCTGTGGATGTCTGGCTGTTCTGGAACTTACTCTATAGACCAGGCTGATCTCAAACTTACTGTGATCTGCCTGCCTCTGCCTCCTAAGTGCTGGCAGGGCACTGCTTGATTGCTAATTGATGCAGGCAGGCCCAGACCACTATGGTTCCTGCCATCTCTAGGCCTGTGTGGTTAGGCTGTGTAAGAAAGGTGGCTAAGCAAACCAGAAAACGGAGTCTATAAGCAGTGCTCCTCCATAGTTTCTGCTTCATGCCCCTGGTTTTCTTTTCTGCCTTCAAATAAAAACCTTTCCTTCTCCAACTGCAAGGTCAGTGCTCTGTCACAGTAACAAAGAAGCAAATTGGAATGATATGGAAAATGCTTCTGTTAAAATGGGCCTCAGGGGTTTTGTTAAGGCTTAGGGAAGGTGTTCAGGAGAAAGATCTCATGGCTATGACAGTCCTTCTTGGTACCTGTTGCTTGTTATCAGTGACTCTTATTTCTCTTGTGAAGGGCTTCACTATGTAATTGCTTCTGTGTTTTAAACTTTTACAAGGTGAGCTGGTAGCAGGCATGACTTTGACTTGACTCTTATCTTTGCTGTCACCGCAGCATTTAGAGATCTAGTCAAGTGATGCATAAATTCCTCGTGGAACTTCTTGTTAGAAAAATACTTGCACTATTATAAGATATCCTGGGACAAATAGTCTACAAAACTTGCAAGAAGTCTGGTGGAGGTTGTTAGTGATACTTCTTAAAGTCATAGTTAGAAGATGTTTAGTTGTAGTATTGACTAG